GTTGCAAGAATGGAAAGATTACTCTGGCACAAAACAAGGCACCTCCTGAAGAATTAGAACGATTAGTGTATGGATCAAGTGCACAGAGTAAGCATTTTCAGACACATATTCGTTCATACAACTGTATGTTTTCATTTACTTCATTGGGAGGGAAAATTCAGAGAGATCAAAACTCAGGCCGCGGCCCTCCTGTTTTTAAGTTAGGAGGAAAAAATCTCCCGTGTGACAAATCGTGAAGGATTGAAGATCTTATGTTGCGACGAAGAAAATAATGCCTTGGACTATACTTCAAATGTTGTATACAAAGAAGTATTCCAAAACTTATAATGCATTTGTATATGTATAACTTATTTATGTGTAATGCTCTTTTAGTATTTATGTGTAATGCACTCTTAGATGATATAACAACGCTATAAAAGGCGTTGTTGTTCGAAATAGACGGTATTCAGGTGTGATATATTTTAAATGTTATTGTCTACTATATCTATTTGTTCTAATTTTTAAATTCTTTACACACACAGAGTAATTTATTATTATATTATTCTGACCGTGCATCGCACGGGTAAAATCTAGTTAGAGCAATGCTAGGAGTACATCTCATTTGTCCCACACCCCTTCTCCATCACCCATTTTTATCTACATTTTATTTGTTTAATCTTTTTTAAAGTTATTGCCCATTTTTGTGTACCCCTAGCATTTTTCATAAAATTATTATTTCTCTCCCTATTTGTGTCAAATACCTTATTGGTCCAGCAACATGATAGACTTTGTTAAATGGGAGGTCACATGTTCAATCCTTAATAGTGGTAATAACTTTACGTGTTTAATAAATTGAAAATGTATAAATATGAACTAGATTCTAATAAAATTTAGTGTTCAAAAAAATTATCTGTTTACACATATTTATTTTTGATTGAGTTTATTTTTCTAAGTATATTTTAGCACATTGGTGAGACTCAAAGATTGATGTGTGATGAAGCTTGGAGTGACTTATTGCCACTAAGCCAAGATACTTC